CTACCCAAATCCAGACAATGTTATTATGGACTTGCAAGGATGAGCTCTAACACAAGCAGGGCTATTCACAAAGCTGCCAAAGGCAGCCAAGTGAATAACCCACCCGAAGTGAGCCGAACGCTGTTCAGCTATTCACTTCAGGCTTGTATGGTTGATTTCAGCCGCTCATCGGCTGAAATCAGCCGCACATCGGCTGGCTACGCACATTGGCTGAAATCAGCCGCACATCAGCTGGCTACGCACATCGGCTGAAATCAGCCGCACATCGGCTGGCTACGCACATCGGCTGGCTTCGGCTGTGCCGAAGTGCAGAAAGACTTCGACTCAGCCGATCCAACATCTGGATCAGCTGAGCCGAATCTCCGGCAGCTCACTTGCTGCCGTTCGCCCCTATTTACACAGTTTAGTTGTGTGTGAAGGCCTAAAGGGACTTAACGTTTTTAAGCAGCAAGAGCTCTGTTCGCCAATTTCTGCTTATAGCCCAGCACTGTAGAGGTGAAAACTGTAGAACAATCCTTCTTCCCATAAAATAATTTCTTCTTAGTTCTCTTCCATACGAATAAACAGCACATTTATGAATATTTTTAATATAGATACACATTCTCTTTAATTGTTCCATTCACTCTTTTCCTTTTTCACCAAAACAAAATACTTTGAACACATACATAAAATAAGACCAGACGGGAGAATACTTAATAATGAATCTTGTTTATTTACTACTTAAGGATTCTTATTGTGTGTTAGCATTTAAGATTAAAAATTGTTAAACAAATATGCCAACATTTGAAATGATACTTTTGCTTATCTACCTAAACGCCATTGTACAAAATATCTCACTGCGTTGTAAAACAATTATCTTGATATAAATTATTTACAAAGTAACACTTTTAAGGAATAAAGTTGCAGCCATATACATCAACAACATATTCAATGGGCTATTATAAAAATATTTCAAGAAAAATTCTGCTTTCTGTGCTTTACATCAGGACATAAGGTGCTTCATCCCCTGTCAAGCATATGCTCCACTCTGTATTGCTGTAAATACGCCGCAGGCTCCTAGAGCAGCTGTGGTCTTAGAAGTAGCAATACAATATACAGTTTCCAAATAATAAGCAGCTGGGTTCATCTCACTGTCCATTAGAGTCAGGAAAGCCATATTGGTGGAAAGGTAGACAGCCAACATCCCCTTTCCACGATACTGCAGTAGTCCCTATGTGCTGATTTGTTTTATTTTTAAAGTCCAGTGATCTTCACTGCATTGTGAAAATGACAATTGCATATTTTTTTACTGCATAGAAACATATCAGCCCCAATTCAAGTTTGCATAAATACATCAGGACACAATATACAATCACAAGCAAAAGCTTGTATATAGGATATCAAAAAGTAAAGTGTCTTAGGCTCCTGAAGTGTTACTGTGGACCTGTCACCTGCACATAAGAAAGAAAGCCAGTTTGTGGACTGAATCTATCTAATCTGCAAGGCTTTCAAAATACAGAATTTTGACCAGCCACTGTTGAGTCAGTCAGAGGTCATCTGAGGTCTGACAGTTGCTGCCCCGTTAACTATGTAATCTCAAACACTGTCTACAAAGTATACAGTAAGTAAGACCAGGTAGTCAACAAGCACTAACCCCGACACTCAAATGTCAGACCAAAGCAAAGTATGTGACGCTAAATAAAGTATGAAATATAAACCCGGCATAGGTATGCCTGCACAGTCACACTAATTAAAGACTGATTATTTAGAATCCAGCATAAGCCTATTTGTGACAGGCTGTCTTTCAGCTAGTCACAGGCCAACGTATTGGGTCTTTGACTCTTAAATCATCCCTTTCTCTACTATTTAGCAAATCAACAATGTATTACCAATGGTACAAACTCAACATTGACATTTTGCTGTAGAGTCTTTATCACAAGAACAATTAGGAAGTCTATTCTACTATTCTGCTAAGCTTATCTATCACAAAACCAATCAGCAAACACACTGACCGATTATTGTGTGAACATGGTAGAACTTTGAAGTACAAACGCTTTTCTCTGTATGGCCAGATTTAGTCACATACTACTCATCTAACTTACAAAATGGCTTTCTCCATAGTGAAGGCACAGTCCAACAACAAAAAAACAAAACAAAATTGTGAACTTTTAAAAGTTTTTTTTTAAATCAATAAAAATGAACTGTACTTAGATTAGCAGAGGAAAAACAAATTGTAAGGTTCCACAAAGTAAAATAATAATTTAAGTGTAGAAAAAGAACACTGACACACCGAGTGACAAAGTGAACGTAGACTAATGACATTACAATATGACTTTGGTTACTTGGTATTATAACACATTATTTGGTAACTAGGTTAAAGACTATGTACATGTATATATAAATATATATATATACACATATACATACGAGAACTAGAATAACTGTAAACATATAAAAGTCTGTAAACAAATCTATACCATTAAACTGTGCAAGATGGAGATGTGAGCACACACTAGGTAAGCTGTCCGTATACTAACACATCTTGCACCTCTTTAACTAGAACACAAATTTAATTTACACTTGTGTGAACACATTTTCTACAACATAGGAAAAAAAATATGACGGCTTTCTAGCCTGAGCAAATGTCATTCTAAATTCCCACATATACAGGACAATTCGTACAAAAACAGAAAAAGAGAAGAAAATAGGAGTAATGTTGGGTAGCACTGCTTATGACATTAAAAAAGTCATGAAAGGAATAATTTGGGAGGGAGAACTAAAATGTAACTGAGGATGTTTGTATGAAAAAATAAACCACAAATTATGCAGAAGAATGTTATAGAACTGTATCTAGATAATAGAAAAATAGTCTAAAATATATATTTGTAGCATTTGTTTTTATTTTTTAAACACAGTAAAGGGGGTTGTGAGATACCAGATTTGCACAGCATCTGTTTAATTGAATGGTTCCAATGTATGGTGTAGTTACTTATTAAGGGGGTTTCACCTACAGACTTGCTTTAGTTTGTCAAGGCAAACCCTGCAGCATCTTGCTGCAAGGACAACATTCATGTACACACCCTTGGAGTGACATGTCAATTGGCAATCTGCTGGAGAAGAGACTTTGGACATAAACAATGCAGTAATTTTGATAACCATACACCACACATTCATGGAGGGGAATTTACTCTGGAGCAGACAAAATCTGGAGCAGCTATGCATGGAAACCAATCAGCTTCTCTCTTTCATTTTCAAACCTTAAAGGAGAACTATGCGGTGAGTGCTTTTCACTCACCTCATAGTTCTAGCCGACCTGTGACAATGAGACTGTCACAGGTCGGCTCAGTAGATCGGGAGGTGAGAGAACATATACCGGCGTTCGCTCATCTCTCGCTCCTGGATTCCCCCCTCCCCGCTCCGCCAGCGCTGACTGGCGGAACGGACGGGGGAGGGTACAGCTGGCTCTGCCTCTAGTTAGGCAGAACCAGTTTTCAATCACGCAGCTGGGCAGATCCAGACATAATCGGGATCCGCTTCAGCTGCGGCATCTCAGTATACCGCGAGCTGTAGCTCACGGTATACTGAGCTTAGGGTGACGGGAGGACGCTAGTTTGTGTCCTCCCGTTACCCTAAGGAGAACTATGGGGGAAAGCCCTAACCTCATAGTTCTCCTTTTAAGTGAACAAGCTGAAGATAGAAGCTGATTGGTTACTATGTACAGCCACCAGTATTTCATAGATATGTGCAAACACAAGATCCCCACCTACGGTACGTAGCTCTCCTAAACCATATTCACACAGGCAAATCTCTGACACCAAAAACATGAATCACAACATGGCCTGGTCAGAAGAGCTAATGCATTATAAATAACTGTGTGAAAAGGTTTATTATGAAAGTGTTACATTTTTATCAACTTCAGGACCTCTGCACATGTGCATACCTTCTGAGTTGTCAGGCTATATGGAGATCTCACACGTGATCACAGCTGGGCAAGTTTTGCAGCCAGAGTCCTGATACGTGTATAGACGCTTGGCATGTAACCGTGATCATGGTCAATCATCTTTCCAACACTGTGCAGTTCAGAAGAAGGGGTGTGTCATAACAACCCTTAAGTAGGTCATACATGTGGCAATTTTCTGGCAATTTCAAACACATTCTATCCACTGGGAATTGTACATACGATTGCAAGTAATCATCAAAAACTAAGCAATCTATCACTCTGGAGTTGGCACATTCACCAGAATTAAGTTAATTGCTTTCATCCAGTTCACTGAAGTCAAGAATGGAAAAAACTTAGACAGTTTGTTAAAAGCGCTTGTATTTATCCGATAGGTGTGATCAGGGCAATTCTGATCCTGCACTGTCATTCTGTCACACATGCATTTGGTTGAGACTACAATCGGCCATGCTGACACACATTGTGCAAGCACCATTGTCACTATTACACCAACACATACAAAGCATTGATGAGCAACTCGTATTGGAGCTTGCGCTTATTGACAAGATCTGACTGAAAAACGCTGCAAGAGATCAGCAACACTGAGATCATGTTGGGGTTTATGTACATTCGTGTAGTGGGTGCATTTGTTTTATACTTGTTCCTTCTTAAAATGTTAACATCATTGTTTTAATAGTCTGCCTATATCAGTTGAATGTATATTTTGGGCAGCTTTGATAGTTATGAAGTGCTAAACCTGTTTTTGATCCTTTTGTAAGAAAAAAAAGAATTTGCTGAATAAATATTTGGTTCGCTTACTGGGATTGAGTTGCCTTTCTTTTTTAAGGTGGTTGTGAGGTAATCTGCAACATTTTGATTTGTTTAAAATTCTTAATATACCCATGATCATAAATAGATGTATACACCGTTTACTAATGAATGCAAGTCATATATATCAAACAAAATCTGACATTTAAATAGATCTCTTACAGAATTTTAAAAAAGTCAGCAAACCTGATGCAGCAATAGCAGACACTGCTGTGGTCCTGAAGTTGTTAGAAATATAAAAATGTGCACATTGCTTATTCATACCCTGTGGTCACTTTGCTAGTTTAAACAACTCTGGCACAAGCTGTGACCAAATATGAATAGGCCATGATAAGGCCTATAAGTTGGGGTACAAACGTTTTATGTCTATAGTTGTATCTCACACAGAAGGGGACAAAGTCATTAACCAATCACATGCTTTAAAAACTTTTCACAGCTTTTTACTTCAGTAGTTTTGTGATTGTGTAAGTTGTCTATCCTAAGAGGTAACGGTTACATTAAACCAATGTTGCTATAAGGTGAGACACAGGAGGATTTCAAAGTGGATCTTGCTGTGTTTAATTATATAGCAGGATGTCTTTCTGGTCATATTGTTCAATAACCTGAATAGCCAAAAAGAACTGCAAAATAACACTACAGAGGTTCCCCAGGAAAAAGAATATTCTCAGCTGTAAACATAAAACTTTTTATGCTCCTCCTTGCAGCCATCCTCAGTCCACCCCATCGAAACCTTGAGTATTTTCTATTGCTATGTGTAACTTATCCCACAAGTCCTCGAAAGACTCATAAGGAGGTAAATCCAGTCGGTTAAAGCTAAAAAAAAAAAAAGAAAAAAAAGAGAATCAGGAAAAAGTCTTCTGCTCACATATTTCAAGACTGCAAAGAGACAGAACAATTACCATGTGTGTGCTCTGGGAAGCTTTTCTGGGGAGCCCCATTTTTCAACTGTAAACAACTGTGGTCCATTTGAGCCTAAAATGAAACATGTAAAAGGGTTTTTCAGTGACACATTTTTCAATGATTACTCTGCAAACCTTACATGAATACAAATAATCAATGTACAGTTGTGTGAAAAAGTGTTGGCCCCTTCCTGATTTTTCATTGTTTCGCCCATATGTCACACTTTAATGTTTCAGATCATCAAACAAATTTAAATATTAGTCAAAGATAACACAAGATGCAGTTTTTAAAGGAAGGTTTTTATTATTATGGAGAAAAAAAAATCCAAACCCACATGGCCCTGTGTGAAAAAGTGTTTGCCCCCTAAACCTAATAACTGGTTGGGCCACCCTTAGCAGCAAGAACTGCAATCAAGCGTTTGCGATAACTTGCGCTGAGTCTGTTACAGCGCTGTGCACTAATTTTGTTCCACTCATCTTTGCAGAATTGTTGTAATTCAGCCACATTGGAAGGTTTTCGAGCATGAACCGCCTTTTTAAGGTCATACCACAGCATCTCAATAAGATTCAGGTCAGGACTTTGACTAGGCCACTCCAAAGTCTTCATTTTGTTTTTCTTCAGCCATTCAGAGGTGGACTTGCTGGTGTGTTTTGGATCATTGTCCTGCTGCAGAACCCAAGTTCGCTTCAGCTTGAGGTCACGAACAGATGGCCGCACATTATCCTTCAGGATTTTTTGGTAGACAGCAGAATTCATGGTTCCATTTATCACAGCAAGTCTTCCAGGTCCTGAAGCAGCAAAACAGCCCCAGACCATCACACTACCACCACCATATGTTACTGTTGGTATGATGTTCTTTTTCTGAAATGCGGTGTTACTCTTACGCCAGATGTAATGGGACACACACCTTCCAAAAAGTTCAACTTTTGTCTCGTCAGTCCACAGAGTATTTTCCCAAAAGTCTTGGGGATCATCAAGATGTTTTCTGGCATAACGGAGACAAGCTTTTATGTTCTTTTTGCCAAGCAGCGGTTTTCGTCTTGAAACTCTGCCATGCAGGCCATTTTTGCCCAGTCTCTTTCTTATGGTGGAGTCATGAACACTGACCTGAGGCAAGTGAGGCCTGCAGTTCTTTGGATGTTGTTGTGGGGTCTTTTGTGACCTCTTGGATGAGTCGTTGCTGCGCTCTTGGGTAATTTTGGTTAGCCGCCCACTCCTGGGAAGGTTTACCACTGTTCAATGTTTTCGCCATTTGTGGATAATGGCTCTCACTGTGGTTCGCTGGAGTCCCAAAGCTTTAGAAATGGCTTTATAACCTTTTCCAGACTGATAGATCTCAATTACTTTCT